CTAAGATTCCATAGCAAAAAACCGCAAATGGCCAGCTCATTTCTGCTACGTACTGTCAAGTGACGGAAATGGCTTACTTCTGAAACAATGGACCGCACAGGAAGGACTTTCAAATAAGCACAGAACATGTCCTTTGGTCCTTTGCAAACTACTTGTTCTGGAAGATGGAAGGTGAACGGAAGATCCAATATGCGAGCGTTATACTAGGCGAAGGGGTATAAGAGTGGAAAGCCGCTGACACGATTACTATGCTTTGAAATGCACTGTGGAAATCCTGCTATATGCAAAAATTTCAAGGTATCACGACGAATTGATTTAAACAGAATTAGAACTGCAGGCATACTTTATGGATGGATAAAATGTTTCAAACTATTCTCGGAGGATAAAGCGATGGGTGTTGATCGATCGTTTTCGACTTGGAATGTATCACGTATCTAACCCAGCAATGGCACTGCAGCATATAAATGCGTGTCTGGCCTATATAATAATTTTGAAGCCAGCCGCTGTTCAGGATTTACTTCTGCCGTACCACACAGATATAGCATCAGTAAGCTCACTAAGGAGAAGAGGAAGTCATTGTTGTCGATTGCCTTAAACAGATTTTGTTGCGAGACTGGACTCTCAAACCATGCGCGTGAGGAGGTCTGCCACTTTTAGCTACACCTCTGCGCCACTAGAGCAGAAAACATTCAACTTGTTTTCAAAGAGCCTGTTTTTCATTTTGTAGTGCGGGCAAATTATGGTACACTTTTGTTAGACACAAAATGTGGCCATTCAAACTTCCTTCCACACTATACTCCACAGCTACTTATGAGTAGCTTGAGTAGCTTAATTGAATGCGTCCAGAAATCAACGCCCTCCAACCAGCACACGGCAGTTGTAGAGGACTATGCGAGCGCTTATCATCTCTTCTATAATTCATGTGGTATAGGCAGATAATAAGCATCTTTTTCAAGAATCCGCGACACAATTTTCATTTTCCTTCCCCACATTGAAGACAATTGCCGCGATCAAGTGTTACGGGTAGTAGGTGCTCAATCATGAACCAGTAGCCCATAAGTAACTTCCCAGTAGAGGAAGAAGCGAAAAAAACCTTGGGAACACTCTGAACAGAGACTCCCTTAGCAGTGGGCACCTTGGACGAGTTTGTCGGACGTCGGCAAGCCCAATCAGCAGGATTCGACGTAGAACCGATCCCAGTGTAGCACAGGAAATCCCCTACGACGCTCCAGGCAACGCTATGTACACACGCAAATCCGCTTGTAAGCCGTTGTCTTGCAGAGTGAAAGTAATCGTGGTTGCAATGGTTGCAATAATCACCTAGCTCTAGCTCTAGCTTGTTTATCTCGCTGTTTTGAGTGACGAAAGGTGTACATCCTCTGCCAATACGTACCACGATGCCAAATGCACGGAAGCATTTCTCGGACCACTTGATCGCGGGAAATATCTCATTCAACTCTTTCATGGACACTCTTGAGAGTAACTTATTAAGCGAAAGAGACTAATGGCTGACACAACAACTCTTGAAAATACAATGAGCACTGGATTCAACTCCTCTCATCATGCAACCTCCACATTGTGCGATATTTTTTTTGGTTTCTACACTTCTGCCCGAGGCTGAAGGGTCGACAGATTCATTCAGCGAACGTTTCGACCCATTCGTCGTTGTTTTTATTCGCTTGCTTGCTTACTACACTCTAGTGGTGGAATGCAAGGCTTTCAAAACGACAGCAGCTCTAAGGACAGCCGAATAAACCTCGCACCATGAGTATAGAAGAAAAAATATCGTACACTGTGAACGAGACTATTCTGCGCATACATTTAGTGTGTCTATCTGAGACATCGTCAAGCGCGGAGCGGCTGAGTTTAAGGTACAGAACCGTCAAGAAGAAAATAATGCTTGGCAGATCGCATGGGCGTGTTCTGAGGTTCGAAGGTAGCTCAGTCAAAACATCTACCTAACTTGTATAAGACGATGGGAATCATGAATGGAATTTCCAAGTTTCCTTAATATTCTCACCTTTAGGTTCTTCTCTTTTCGTTTCTGAAGCAGAATCAGACTTTGCGCCTAAATCTACTTCTTCTAACGTATTAGGATCTTGAATAGTTAGAATATTTTTATTCCGTTGTTGCTGTTGCAGTTGTTGTGGGGGCGGCTGCATTGCCATGGGTGTGGGATGCTGAAATAGACCTTTTCACACACGGTAACCGCCTTTCATCGTGGTATCACACCAAAACATACCGTTATTTGCTGACCCATGTACATTGTGCTCATTGTTGCTGCGTGTGGATCATAATCCATGCCGGGTTGTCGTGAGTATTGTGGTCCAGGATAACTGAAACTTGGAAATGTAAAACTAAGTGGTGCAACTTCCATTACTTAAACTATGGTCCGCTGCAGTACAACGGGTTCGCAATCGACAACACAGACACTATCGTCGTATGATCAGGACAGCTCCTATGTTGGGGAATCCGCGGGGGGCCGTATTTGGTCGCAGGACGGAGGAGTATCGTATTTTGTCTGAGAAAATTATCTTTTGATAGTTGATTTTTCCTGTTTCACGGGCGCTTTACTAGTTACGTTTATTTACCAATTCTAATGTGTGGGGAGGGCCGCCGGTGGGAGAGAGAGAGAGAGAGAGAGCGCTGGTCTCCTCTTCCCTGAATGCTGTAAATCCCCCTCCACCACCCCCCCCCCAGCGCTCGATGACAAAGTTTAGGGGAAAAGTGGCTGAAAACTTTAAAGTTCCTGTGGGAATTTTTGGAAATTGTGGGGGAAGTTGGGGAAAAGACCCTGGTCTGGTCCAAGACCAAGAAAGCGGAAGGTAGGACGGGAAGGGTGGTCGTATCGGGGTTGGGGATTCGGCGAAGGTGGGTCGGTTGTATTTTCCGCGAATTTTTGACAGCGGCAGGATGTGCCTTGACTACTTCTAATTCCTTTATGCTGGGAAACAGCAAAAGATTAAAAGAAAAACTGCCAATTTGTTTCGATTTTATTTCGCTTGTACTTTTTTCAGATAGCATGACCTTATAAAATGTATAGTGAACGCAGTGGTATCAAGACGTATTTTTAGAAAATACAGAATGCCTCCCCATTACTATATAAGTCCAAATATGCGACCATGAACTATCCAGGATTAACAGTTCATCTTAGTAATGTCAATCAAAAAATTGTTTCTAAACTATGAGTGTATGGAATACAAGAAAACAGAAAATATATGCCACAAAATAAAGCTCTTGCCCATTTTCCAAGCAGAAATAAATAGAACTTTATACAGCGCTTGATTTCACTGCGGGAGGGGGGAGAAACTTTTGATAAGAAAGTAAAAAGAATTATCGATGCTATACGATACTGTGAAGACAATAACGGTAAATACAGGACAGCCAAAACGACCGAACTGCTGCACAGGTGAACGTTTATATCGATTAACAATTCTGCAGGATTTTCGCTAGACTGGTCGAATCAGTGTAAAGCACTAGATTCACGGTGCAGCTGACATTCAAATGTTCCGAGAAACTAAGTGAACAAAAAAAGAGCAAATGTATTTATGTGACGCGTAATTCCATACTCAAAAATTGTTCGCTTTCCCCTAATGAAGAAAGTTGAAATTTGACGAGGGGTGGAGGGTAGTGTCCGACAACGACAGAAAATGAGGGTGTAATGCATGAGCAGGACACAGCACTGGGCTTGTGCCGGATCTCATGAGATCGATCGCGATTAGATTGGTGTAAAACACGCAAGCGCGAACTCTGGATAGTGGGCAATAATTGATAAACTGATAGAATGCTGATATCAGGTAATGTGAACAAGAAACATTATCGTGAAAAGGCTAGAAATCTTGTTTAGACTAGGTTGTCCGCAAAGTTTGATGGAAATTTTGGGCCTCCTGTTTGAAAAAAAAAATCGCGAGCAAGCGCGCCATCACAAAATCCTATTTCAAAGAGTAAAGAAAAAGAGAATTGCCTGTAGATCAATTATGACGCTTATCGGTGTTATTCTCCATTAATGGTTGACTCAAAATTTACTGAAAAATGTACGAGCACCAAAACCTTTTATTCACCCTTCTGACTGCTCTCTACGTCGTCTGAAGAAGAGGCGCTGCCAAAGATGCTGGATAAAACGCACTTCAAAATTATCTATAATGGGAGTCCAGACGATCTCCTATGGGAGTTTTGCCTCGATGCTGCAAACCCCCTGCCTTCTTCGTACTCACATCATTCTTGCCCTCGCGCGAAGCAATCCACCCAGAAGTTAAGGGGAAAGACGATATTTGTCATAACTATTAATTTTCAGTTCTCATTTATGCTCAAATTTTTGAATGAACTGGTTGTAAATTCTCAAAACTTTCCGACACCCTAACAGAACCAGGTCAACTAATTGCTTTAAAGAAATGCCGACTTACAATTGCTGTTGTTGTACGAACATCTGTTGTGGTGGATAATACTGTTGAGGCGGTTGAGCTCGCATGTGCGTTGGTGGTGCTAAGAAAGGAAAGATGAACATCGCCGAACTTAGCACAGGTATATTTAATGCTCAGTGGGGGCGGAAATGTGCCTTTTGCCTGTTCTCTACTTATCGATTGTCAACCACATTCACAACACAAACACGGTACAAATTTGATCTATTAAAGCACAATTCTTAGAGCCCTTAAAAGAGGGGCGGTTTATTAATCTGACCATTGCCTGGTCTCGCCACGTAATGGCCGCCGTGCTGCAGAAACGACATACCGTATCCCATCGGATGTATCGTTGTGCCCACTGGTAAACACATTCTATAAATGAATATATGCATCTCAACAAAATGAAGTATGAGATAAAAACCGGTCAGAAAATAAGTGACAAAGACTAACGTGGGACTTGTCATATCGTATTCTTGCTGGGGTGTGGGCATATTCGGAATAGTAGGCGTAGCAAATGAGGGCTGAGGAGCGCCCATCGGTAATGTGGATGCACCAGCATGGTGACTACCGCCAACATTCAACGCATCTTAAGATCGTACTCGGAATAATAAATTTTAATGACAACTATGCAAAAATGGATGACAATTCACTTACCTTGAGTGTACGGCTTTCCTTTACCTCTTTCTCTTGATATAGCACTTGACATAATATGAGTTTGAGAAACTGAAACATGCACAACCGTTTAACAATATCGTCGAGCTGCTTACTAATCATCCCAATCAATACGTACGAGAAAAAGCACGGGCCTAAAACATCGGACAAACCGGCAAGATTACCGGCTATATGCAATGGAAATGTCCAAATCGATATCATCCATCACTACACAAATAACTCACGAACGAAATCACGATCAGTACAGATCAAAACGATCATAACACTACGGTAAAGGAATCAATACCCGAAATTCAGGGCAGATTTTTTGCCAAGAGGTCCCACGAGGAAAATGTCGAGCGACATTTTGGCGTCGTTCTCGCTGCTTGGGGTGCAATTACGAAAATTATCCAGCACTATTCTGACGAAATGGTCGTAGTGAGTTGCTATATTCGTTCTTGCTCCTTTTGTGTCTGAATTTTAACCTGTTTAGAATGTTTGTCATAAGTGGAAACGTTCGTTTTAGAGTAAGTGAGTCTTTCTGGTGCTTCAGGTAGTTTCCATTGCAATAATAATCGCACTAAACCAAAATTGTTCTTTGCTGAATCTTCATTGGAAGGAGTTAATCGGCACTCGATCATCTGACATTTTACAACATAGCGTTCCGCAGTTCTGTACAATCCTAGTGCCCCATTTGAACCTAAATGTGAAAACATGAAGAGGCAGCTACACTATATATTGCAAAAGACAAAGATCCAAAATGAATTTCAAAGTTTTTGGAAGATTGTTTCTTCCCTTGAATACCTCATTGCTCAAAAGCCTTCCTCAGCTGCCTGAAATGCAGCAGTTATGGAAATAAACTGTCATCTTGTCCACTCCTGTCGGACTAGACGGTTACGGGGCTTGTCAACCAGACGTGCTCTCGCTGCGAGGGTCCAGGGGTATTTTCACGAGGCATCTACCAGTCCAGTAGTTGAAGGGAGAAGGTAAAGGAGGAGGGATCAGAGAAGGAAGGAAGGAAAAGAAGGAGGGAGGAAGAAAAGGAAAGAGAGGAGAGGCTTCTCGGTTGACAAGTGCCCTGAGACGGGACTAGACCTTAGTTCCTCTGCTTTGATGTAGCTACTTTTACAGGAGCCTGGGGGAAGCCTTGTTTCCGGCGCCTCCAATAATTTTTTTACTGGGTTTTCTTTAGCGTAATGTAACACTGTAGTGGTAATTGCGGAGAAAGCTTCAGGGTATGCATTTTAGTACGATGTTTCAAGAGATTGCGGCTGCGTTCACACTTTGCGTCTGCGTATGGCAGCGTTTCAAGCTTACGCCAACACCAGCGACTAGGAAAGTACAGGTATTGTTCTAGCGTATGCCGCGACAAGGAAAGTATGGTCATCGATGTAGCACTGTGCGTATGCCATCATTCTGAGGATCAGGAAAGTAGAGATGTGATCTAGTGTTTTTAGCGTCCACCAATGTTCCTAGCGACTGACGCCAAAGAAGGTCAAATCGATCGCGAAAACGCTGCTGTGGCCTGACGTGCGCTGGCATACGCTAGGTTGATGCCTACGTTTACCTAGTCGCTGCATACGCTAGCGTACGCTAAATCGATACCTATACTTTCCTCGTCACTGGCACACGCTGACGGAAAGTATGAACGCAGTCTGTGGCGTCCTTCACTCTCTCTTCTGACGTCCAACACACTACTGGTGAGAAGTCCTGCAAAGAAAGTCCAACAGCACCCAGTCCTAATGGCTTCAGCGCCGAACATTCGACTTATGGCCCAGTCTGCCTGCTGTATGTGATCTCAACACTTCTGACATCATGTCATGGATTGGCAAAACACTAAACAAAGGACAGCCATGTAAGCAGGCAAAGTTCCGTAGAAAATTCAGCGTGATTGATTATTTCTGCACAAGCAAGAAGGTTATCGAATCAAATAGTAAGGGCACTGGAAATAAAGCAGCAAGAACCACCCATCAACAGCAAGGAGGAGATGAAAGTGGCAATGAGTTTGTTATCAATATAAGACGTGCACAATGGAGACATACGTGACTTATTCTAGATCACCCTTGTCCCGCACCCTTATAAATGATCCCAATCCTTCCACTTTTATTTCTGCCAATACTGCTACGTAGTGAGGCCTGACGGAGTTTTGTACTCCTTCCCCTTCTACATAGTGTGGGTTATTGCTATGTTTACTTTATTGATGCTGTAACATTGTAAGGGTGTAGCTGTTTGATTTAAGATCGAGTGACCTGAAGAAGGGCTTATGCCCTGAACGTTGTCGTATATTAACCCATTGCGTACCGCGTGCTGCACCATGTGCAGCACGCTCATTCGTCGCTGTATGGCCGCGTGCTGCACATGGTGCAGCACGATGATTTTTCCGCTCCATCTGGATTATTTTGCATCCTTTTCTGCTACAAAGTTGCGAGCATATGTTTTCGAACACGGAGAACAACATAAGTACCTCGATCGCTGACGGAACACTCCCGTCCAACGCTCATAAACACTCAAAGGATTAAACAGGAAACTGTTGATGATATGTGTTGAAACACTTAATGCAGAAATATTGATATTGCTGCGAACGACTCACTAAACACCATTCTTGTCGGCCAGTAATCTATGAGGTTTGTCCTGATTTCGAGTCCCATTTGGAAACAAATCGCCAAAAATTTCAATAGTTCGCCGTCGTCGAGATTAATCCAGTCTGTGTACTTTGCGATAGCATAACGATTGGTTCATCTTACAATCAACGAGATCGTTTGTGAATAATCGCCGGAAAAATTAAATTGGGTCTTGGTAAGACAGAACATCTTCATAGTGCATCACCTAAACGAAAGACGAAATTGTTCTGCCTGCTGATGTTTGGGGTCCATTGAATCCCTCCATCGTTTGTATCCGAGCCTTCTTCGCTTGATTCACTCATCACCTGAGTGATTCACACGGACAACCATATCTTCTGGGGTATCAGGGCCCTGTTCCATCACTTCATCACTTTCAATTATTAATTAATTAGAAGTTCATCAAACGATCTGTTCAGCGCGTCCTACCTATCTGAAATGGCTACCGTGAACTAGGCGTTTTTTCCCAAAAAATAGCCTGGAGAAGCGAAATGACGTACGTTGAGTTTATACTTCGCTGCGGGCGCGAGAAATACCGCTCTGCGTGGCGTGCTGCACCATGTGCAGCACGCCGGCGAGGTTGCGAAATATGGCTCGGGCACACGCGGCAGCCAGCGAAAAAAACGCGGTACGCAATGGGTTAAAGATTCAGTGAAGAGAAGAGCTTCGTCGTTTTACTCACTACAGCGAGATTAAATACAATGAAGCTCAGGGAACCATCGATTCTGAGTAAGAAGGTCAATTTGACTGTTCCTAGTTTTGACCGAGCAGTACTTTTCCTGAGCAGTGCGAACTCCTGCGTATCTTGTTGTCGTTGGTGGTACTTGAACATCATAGCTTTGTTAGAGTGAGATAAGGAACTCGCTTATTTTTTTCGGTAATCTGTGTTGCTTGTGATACTGATAACGCTTCGATGCTGCTTCGTGCTGATTCAAGTTAAGTGTAACCAAGCGATTTTTTAATGCTGTTTAGGAGCACTGGAATTTCGTACACAACTTGTAACCTTCTTTGACCATGGGTTTAGTGGCCAGCTGCGTCCTGTCGGTAACAGGTGATGACCGTGTGTGTAAATTCTGCTACGGTGACGAAGATCAGGATGGACGATGGATACGACCATGCATGTGCAGAGGATCTCTGAAGGTATACTTTACTTTTCCGTTTCCCATGAAGGAGGCGAAGGTGGTGTACTGGCAAGTGACGCGCTAAGCAAGCGCGACGTCCTTGGATCAAATCCGGGGTCGGCTTCCACAAAGGCCAAGCGCTGTACTGTTTGGGGATGGCAAACTGGTATCACATTCGCCTGGGAGGGAAATCACTGACTTGTATTCTCCAGCTTCTCTCTTCTTGCAACCTCGGCATTCTAGATGTAAGTTCTCAACTTGTTTTGTGCCTTACGAGGTTGATAGGTGGAGGCTATCCTACTATATATAATTCGCTAAGTATGTCTGTCCGTGTGTGTGTGTGTGTTATTGTGTGCGTCTGTCTGTCTGTCACGAAATTCATAGCGAGCGTCGCAGAAAAGATAGGATGACAGTTCCAAGAAGTGATATACATGGCAGGACGGGAACACTTTTGGTGGGTGACAGGAGGTGATAACACCTGATAAGATTCGATAAGGGGCCTTAGATGCGGAGGGTCACCAACTTTGTAGGGCAGGTTGCAGGGTCTGTGGGACCTTGGTTCAAAGAAGTGGTATAGGGGGAGGAGGGCGGGAACCCACTGACGGGTGACACTAAGTGACAGCAACTGATAAGGGTTGAAAGCGTCATCATGCGGGAATCCGCAACACCGCTTACTGCCACAATGCGATTGATATGACAGGTATCAGGCTCTCAGTAGTTCGTACACAACTCACTCCTATGCTCTTACCGCTATCGACATCATGTACGGCCGCTAAAGCAACTGGAGTTCAGATGCATGACGGTTGTTTACTCAGTTGCCATGAACTGCAGCAACTAACTTTATCACTATGACCATGATTATCTTCCATCAACAACCCGAGAGAGGACCATTCGAAGCGCAAGACTGCCGAATGCGGGAGTGCATTCCAAAAAAACCCTACAGTGGTGGAGAACGCATTGAGCGGTAGGATGCTTCGAAGGCTGCTCTTACAGGTTACTGAATTTTCGTGTGAGGGTTATGGAGATTTTTGGTACTAACCCCGAGAAAAGAATGGACAAAAGGATAGATTTCAGCGTTACATTGGGACAACGGTTACAATTCTACCATATATAATCGACTATGTCCGTGCGTGTGCGTCTGCTCTTTGACACGAAATTCATAGCGCCGGTCCCAGTAGCAGCGAGATATTGGTTCCAAGAAGTGACGTAGAGGGTGACGGGAACACTATTGGTGGGTGATAGGAAGTGATATCAGTTGATAATATCTGATAAGAGGCCTCAGAATGGAACTCTCACCATATTCGTAATGCGGGTCA